GCCCCTCCTGCCCAAGCCAGCCCCCCGCAGCCCCCGCCCCCCCCCCGCCCTCCTGCTGGCCCTCTGCGGCAGCCAGGCCCCTTCCCAGCCGCAGCAGGGACAGCTCCACCAGGCTGGACACCGTGCAAGGCGAAGGCTTTAACAAGCACCCCGCTGAGCAGGGAACCAGTCCTTATAGCCCAGGACCAGGTTCTGCTCTCATCCTGACGACCAAAACCCAGGGCAACTGCCCTGTGCGTTTGGGGCTGTGCAAACGGGAGCTGCACAAGGTTGGAGGAAACGCTGAGGAGGAACTGAGAGCAGCTTCGAGCTCGGTAATACGTGTTTCTCCTACGACCAGTTCCTCATCTGCAACGCGGCATCTGCAATTGGCAGCTATCTCCCAGTACAATGGGGCTCTCCAGGCGCTGTTTTGGGTGGAGAAAAGCAAGCAGGGCTGCTCTGCGGTGTCAGCGGTGGGGATGTTGGTTCTGCTCCCCTGGGAGCGCTCAGTTAACTATGCCAGGTTAATTAAAGCAGCTTGGCTCTTTTGTGCAGAGATAAAGCCTAAAGGCACCCTGAAGTCTTCAGCGTGCCAAGGAGCCAGCAGAAAGGTCCTGCTGCAGGATAGGAGAGCGGGGCGGGGGGTCTGCGAAGCAGGCCATGGGGGAAACACAAGGGAGGGACGTGCTGCTGCAGGAGCCCAGGGAAGGGGAGCAATGGTCAAAGCCATGAGCGGTCCCAAGCAAACCAGAAGCACCCATCAAGCCTCTCTTACCCGGGTTAGGAGGTTGCTCAGTGACAGTGGCCCAAGGGTCGGCAGCCGACGTAGCACCAGAAGCCACCTGAGCAGGTGGGGATGCCTTTACCCAGGGGTCCGCAGAAGAGAAGCTAGAAGACAAGGGTGTCTTTCCCCAAGGATCAGAGGAAGAGGAGGAGGAGGAGGCACCAGGGGGGAAATCCCAGGGCCCGGCAGAGGTTTGGTGGGATGACGCTGTCGCCTGGGAGAGGGGGTCCCCGGCCGTGGCAGGGAGCGGGACCCAGGGGTCGGCAGCGCCGGCCCAGGCGGAGGCTGCTGGCTCCGCTTTGGGTTTCAGATCTGAAAGAAGAAGGGAAGCCGTGGCCGAGGGGGGCG